GATTCTTGATGAGCTGGCGGCACCCCTCGTGAATGGGGAAGGAGTCACGTCATCCATGGAGACATCGGGTAGAACCTGGTCAGGAATCGAACTCTGGGCCAAGTCTCGGTAAGGGGATGGGCTGAGAGGGGGAAGAGAGTCGAGGGCGAAAAAGGAAGGCTGGGAGAGGGACCGATTGTGGGCCGGGCTTGGGCTGGTGGAGAAATTCTGGATTCCGGCCTGAGGGCGGCCCAGCGGGATCTGTGAGTAAGGGGAAACAGGGGGGATTTGGGGGTGGGATGGCGGAATGCCGGCCCGTCTTCCGGTGATGTCGAGGCCGGCGTTTGGGGAGGCCTGTTGGCGAAATTGGCCGCGAAACTGTTGCACGTTCAGCTGTGGTATGTCGAGCTGGTTCATCAGGAAAGGAGAAGATGGAGCCGGCGGCTGGTGCTGTTTGGGGAGTGAGGAAGATGATGTCCCGATTGATGATTGGAACCTCTGTGTGTTAACTTCTTCGTTGCCGGCGGACATTTTTTTGTTGAATTTCAGAAGATTGCTGCTGGTCTACGCGCTGTTTGGATGCAATTACGGCTCGAATAAGGAATTGATCAGAAAAATAACGAAATGCGATTGCAATAGCATGGCGATGGCGATTAGCAAGACAACAACAACAACAACAACAACAACCTCTCGACTGTGCAGTGAACAATCGAACAAAAAAAAAGGGGGGAAAGCGAATTACCCGACCATTACTTGTGAGTTGAGCAAGTTAGCGGCGGCGAGATGTTCTCCGGCGTAGTTCGCGGTGGCCGGCGATGCTGCAGGAGCATGATTGTGCGGGAGCTCTCTCTCTCTATCCGCTTTCTCTCTCTACAAACAGAGACGACGACTGGTATGACTATTTACACGGACTTCATGACTACTGCTGCCTTTTTTTTTTTTTTTAAATTGCCTATAACTCGATGTAAAGACGCGTGAATTTAATGTGAATTTGGGTTTCATTTGTGGCGAATTTGGATTTCGATTGCATTTCAATTTCATTCCGACCGCATGTCACTGCATTTTTTATTGTATTCTATTTTTTTTGTTTTATTTCCTATATCGTCGCAGCTTATTATATATAGTGGTGTATTAATAATAATCCGGACAAAGGTGTCACATCTCAAAATCTATCAATCGTGTGCGATTTGGATTTTTATTTTTATTCGATACGCTATAATAATTGATAAGAATAAAAATAATATACTTTATATTATAAAATTAAGGGAAAAAATCGTTTTCATCCCATACAAAGACAAATTAAGTTTTTCACACTGCCCATTAAAAAGCTAAGTTTTTCACCCCAAAAAGTGCGAATATTATGCGAAAATTGTCGCATATTCATTGCATAACTGTCCATATGCGAAGGTTATGCGAAAAACTGTCGCATATCAATTGCATAACTGTCGCATATTCATCGCACAATGCCTTCGCACAGTTATGCAATTGATATGCGACAGTTATGCAACAGTTTTTCGCATAACCTTCGCATATGGACAGTTATGCGATGAATATGCGACAGTTTTGGCATAATCTTCGCATAGTTATGCAATTGATATGCGACAGTTATGCGACAGTTTTTCGCATAACCTTCACATATGGATAGTTATGCGATAAATATGCGACAGTTTTCGCATAACCTTCGAACTTTTTGGGGTGAAAACTTAGCTTTTTATTGGGCGGTGTGAAAAACTTAACAAGACTTCAAAACGGGGTGAAAATAGATATTTTCACTAAAATTAAACTATACTATTATTTGTTCGCATAATATTAACTAGTACAACACCCGTGTATTACACGGGTGCTTGTTAAAAAATTATTCTTAAATTTTAAAATTAATGAGTAAACTATATTAAATTTAGTTTACTTTTTTACAAAAAAAATATATTACTATATATTTTAGAATGATATGTGTTACTTATGACTTACATGTGTTATATATATTAGTTGTTATAACATATATCATATAACTACATGAAATAAATATATTAGTTGATAAATAATTTTCTTTTTCTAATTAATATTAAAAATATTTTTATTATTGTTATAAAGATAAATATAAAGTATTATTTTTTATACATACAATATGGATGTTAAATCGAAGCTCATCAAAATAAGATTAATTTGATATATTACATATGTAAAACTGATAAAAAATACAAAAGTTATTAATTTTTAAAATATATATACAATTCAATAGTTATAATAAGTAATGATATTAAAATACAGTTAATACATATAACATGACCATAAATAATCAACATATTTATGATAATTATTTTTTGGTTTGGAATTAAATTAAAATTTACCCAAGCCTAATAACGAAGTATGTAATTTTGCCACATAAGATTCCGAAGCACCAGAAACAGTCACGTAACCTCAGCGCGTTCTGTATTAATATATAGGGGATTTCACTTTTGCACAACTTTTAGTTTTGTCTACCATTAATAGTCTTCTTGATTCGACTAGCGTTTATCTACACATCGTTTTCAAAGCTACAATATAAATTCACAATTATAAAACTATTACATAGGTCTTACATCTAATTAAATCATGAATTAAATATATATATTCATAATATATATATTGAAATTATGCATGACTCTTGACTCGCACCAATATAATTAATTACATATCACATCAGAATATTTATTGAACATGCATGACTAAGCACAAACAATGTAAATGAAACAATAATATACATTGTTTAATTGAACTATCATTATTATATAATTAAATAAAACTATATAACACGACATGATTTAACATGCAAATGTTTGTCCAGAAAAACAATTTTCAAGTTAATTAACTACTGAAAACAACCCTGTAAAATGAAATTGGCTAATTTCGCGCGCGATCGTGGTAATTAATTTGGAAAAATCATCACATGCAATTTTTTCGTACAATTATTGTATTTGAACTTATTATATTGTGATTTTTTCTTATATTTCATTGTAATTATTATGTTTCAATTTGAACATTTTACCAATGCAACAAAGTTAGAGTCGTTAAATGACATGAGCCGCTCATACGCTTGGTTCGATTCAGCTATATATACTTGTATTAACTTCAATTAAACAAATTTTATATCGGACAAATAAAAATAAAATTGTTGCATAATAGAAGTATTAGAAGAGAATGTAATTTATAAGCAAATGAATCCATATATTTTCATTTGCTAGTTATGTAGAGGTTCAATTTAGACAAAATTGAACATCAAAATATTGTTAAATAAATAAATAAAAAAAAGGTAAAATGCTGAAAATGAACTTACATTGTGATGATTTACATTGAATCTCTAACTTCCCAATCTTTCACAACCTTATATTTGCATTTTTCTATATAATATGTTTACATTCTATTTATTTAATTGTTAAAAATAATATAATTAAACCCCATGTCTACAGTTAGCCCCTTAAATAGTGTGAACTGCCTGGTCAAGATTGGGAATTTTTAAGAATTTGAGGGGCCATTTTGTGATAATTAACAAGACCCCCCAACAAGGGGATAAGAACAAAGTAAATGCATTTCAATCTTTAGGGTGTTTATTTTGTGTTTATTTTGTGTTTAGGGGTGATTTTGTCTGTAGGTTGTGATTTTTTTGTGTTTCTCTGTATTTGGTTGTTTTTTTGTCCTGTTGGGACCTGTTTATTATCCCATTGGGACCTGTGTATTCTCCTGTTGGGAGTTGTGTATTCTCCTGTTGGGAGTTTTTGTTAGTGTTTGTGGGTGTGT